TTTAGAAAAATAAAAAAATTAACAAATTACCGCCGAGCCTGCCTAGGAGCGCCTAGGTCTGCCTAGCAGCCTGGCCGATTCTGGGCAGCGCATAGGCGGCCGGCTAGGCCGATTTTTAGTAAAGTGTTTTATACTGGCCAAGTAAATAATCTAGACCTCATTATTTGTTGCGTATTCTTAACTCGTAAGACAATGTACAAGCATATGTAGCCGGCACTTACTTATTTGATTTATCAAGGATGAGACTTAATCTGGTAGGTCGTCATACTCGATATTTTTATAAGTAATGTTGGTTGCATGATGTACCGTAAGTACTGATTGTTGTCACTATATCCTGGGAATGACTGGGCTGAAAACCTCCCTGAAGTGAGCTCAAGAAGGATCGTAAAGCCCTGCAAGCGGATTGAGTTCCGACATAATGATAAAGAATTGAGTGGTACTAGCTTCGGACATAGAAATTAATTAATTATATTGCCAGTAATTGTATTAATCATTGATAACTCAGCGATCTCAAATCATAGTCACGATCTACTAAAAGGAAGTTTAAAATCTTAAATATTGAGATGTAAATCGAGCAATAAATTATATAATGAATTAATGATAATTCGGAGTTAAATTGAGAGTGCAATAATATTTTGCTAATGGAATGATTTATCATTCGAGCATTGAGTGGAGTGGGCTTGGCCCATAGTTGGGCTCATGCTTGTAAGCCCATATTTAACACCTCCCTAAGGTCTCTAATGTAGCCTTGTAATTACACCAAGTCCCAAGCCTCCGAACACAAGAGATTAGAGATACACAATATGTTTTCTTCTTTTCCAAGAGAGATACGATCGATTTTCTTTCTTGAGAGTTTGTGAGATTTAAGAGCTCCGTTCCATCGCTACACTAAGATCGTTCGGAAGGTGTTTCAGTAATACAATAGAAGATATGTCGGTCTTTTATTTGTATCCCGACCAATATATATTCGTACCTCGTAAAATTTTTGTAATTCATCGTCACGAAAATTGAGGATTATGACTACCGGAGGTCCGGGACTGTCCAGTAAGAGCGGCGAGCGACCAGAGACGTGAAATGCAAGATACAGTCGAAGTCCGGTGACGATGAGCATTCCGACGATCTCCATCAACGGAAATGAGAAACGTCTTAGAGTTGGAAAAATTTTAATACTGTAAGTCCTAATCCTAACTATAGATTCCGCTGCGTTAAAATATAATTTGTCAGATCCGAAAGTGCATATGAACGATGTTCCGCATAGAACCTAACAAACTTTTGGTGGTCTGGTGGCATTGATCAGAAAAAAGATTACACAGGAAAGCCTGGCACCTGATAACTATTCCCAATGAATCTGGAGGTTTGGGTTTCTAAGATAATCATAGTATTTAATGATTCTTTGATTCTAAACAAGTGTGGAGGTTACTAAACCTAACTTACAGTTTAGTTGAATCCTCAAGGAGAAATATTACCCTTCTAGTTGTGATCTTGATGCTTAAAAAGTAGGTTCTTCTTCTTGGTTGTGGAACAGTCAGACCAAGGTCATTTGTGATTACAAGCATTGTTTTAGGATGGAATTTAGAGATGGACTCAACACTAGAATTCTATTTGACCCTTGGGTGCATGGGTTGCCAAATGGTTGCCTTCAGTGGAAGGAAGAGAACTTCTACAGCGGAGGTTGTGTGTAAAGGATATGCTTCATGAAGGTGGACAAAGATAGGATACAGAGCTGCTTCAGAATTGTTTTACTCTTAAGTCCTGCACTGCCATTACCAAAATCAACATACTGGACCCTGCAGCAAAAGATAGATAAATCTGGTTGTTGCATGAGCATGTTAATTTCTCTATTGCTTCCTCTTACTCTGCCTCTATTCTTTAAAAAAGTTCACTGTTTGGAAAGAGCTAAAAATAGTAACGCTGCTAAGTGTGATAAGATAGCTAGGCTAAGGTGCTGGAGGTTTAAACGT